TCTAAAACATTATATATATATATAATGCGGAGGGAATATTAAACTGTGCGTCGCCTGTCTGTGGAGAGAGAGAGAATTCAGAAAAGGCCCAATAACTCAAAAAATCTGTTATAAGTTCGTTGGTGTTTAACAGTTTAGTCAACACTTTTAAACGAAACAGAAACAGAGAGAACGGAGAAATCGATCCGCGATTTTCCGTTCATCTTCTCCGTCGAAGCTCCGTCGAAGTATAGAGTTGATCGGATTCTTCTGTTCATCTTCTCCAGCTAATCCGATCTTTTCTCTTTCCTCTCAACGTAGAGTTCAATATCAATTTCGTCGGATTAGTAGGGTTTACTGGGTTCGATCTTCTCTCTTTCCCCTCGACGTAGAGTTCAATATCTGGTAAGATCGAGACTTTTTCTCATTGCAATGAAATTGGTTTCTTCGTTCTTTATCTTGATACGAACTTTCAATTCTGTGTGTAAATACTCTTTTCTCGTTGCAATTGGTTTGTATCGTTTCTTTTTGTGTGCATTCTATGGTATTTCYGCATGATTGTACTATCTTTTCTCGATCTTAGGGTTGTTTTAATCCGGTTTCGGTTTCGGTTTCGTTCTTTGATTAAGCAATTGGTTCTTTGATTGTGTTAATCCGGTTTCGTTTCCTTCTTTTGGTTCTTTGATTTTGCTATGTTTTCTCGATCTTAGGGTTGTTTGAATCCGGTTTCGTTTCGGTTCTTTGATGAATCGCTCTTAAGTGGGCAACGTAGACTAGTTTCTCATAAGTGTTTTTTTTTGTATCAGATCTAGTTTGAATAAGTTTTATGGAGACACTCGAGCAAGACGCTTACAATACAATAGCAGGACTTGCATCTCGACTTAATATCAATGAGGACAAGGCGACACTGTTACTTCTGAGCTTTAAGTGGGACGAAGAAAAAATAATCTTGGCTGTTTCAGAACATCTCGTGAATGCAGCATTATCAACCTACTTCGTGAACCGTCCTCATTTTGACAACAAAAGGGTTAGCTTGTTTTACAAGTTATCACAAATACTTTTGATTAGCAATATTATACTGATTTTTGTTAACTGATAGGTACGTTGCCTTCTGTGCAAAATTCGGAAAAGTTGCCAAAATGTTGGATGCGAGCATTACATCTGTAACAACTGCTTAAGAGGTGGCTTAATATTTCGTCTCTTATTTTAAGATGATTGATAGTCTAATTTTTGGTTGAATATTGTCTTCTTTGTGTGTGTGCGTGCAGCTTATGTGGAATCTAGACTTTTGAGAGGAGAATTACAAATATTGTGCCCTTACCGAACGTGCAAAAAATTCTTATCTCATTCCTTCTTATCGAATTGCCGGAGGTTAGTATGCATTAACTATTTTGGTTTTCTAAATAATTAATTTTGACTCTCTTTTTTTGGAGCTTTTATAGATGTTGATGAAGTTTATCAAGAAAACAGAGGACAAGTAATCACGAATGTTGGCCTTTTTCTTTAATACAATACATTTTACTAGTATTTGTTAAGAATTTTATCCTTAATTTTATCAAATAAAAACTTATTAATTGTATATCTAATTCGCAGGGACTTATTCTTCTAAAAGACCAAAGGAGATTTACATACAATCAAATTTCGTTTGGTGAAGTGTACTAATTCGGTTCCTACAATTCGGCTCCTGATGAAACCAGCTTCTATTTTTTTGTTTACCATCTAGAAATCGATTTTAAACAAAACCAGACTCTGAACAAGAAAAATATGTATCTACAAAAGAGAGAATATAATATATATATACAGTAGCTAAAAGAAAGATTTAAATGAAGTAAAATATATACTCTCTTGTTCACTGAAGTTTGACTTTCTTCAGTCTTTGCCTAAGGGACTCGATTGCGTTCTGTATCCTGTTTCCTTCTCTCTTTCTCACTTCAAGAGACGCCTCGTGTAAGTTTTGAACCCCTCGACCCAAGTTTGCAATCGAAGGAGCTGAAGGAAGAGACACAGCTGCACATTCGATCCCATCTCCATAGACAAGCAATCCCGCACAAGTTGCAAGACTGGCTCCAAATGTCGCCAATGGCAAAGTACCGATAGGTTTTAATCTTCTTTTCCGCATGATCTCATAGAATGCAAGTCTCATGGCAGAGAAGCTTGTCTTTTCAGCAGAAGCTATAATACTCTGTGTTACTGCTCTGATTTTCTCGGCGGATAAAGATGCTTTTACCAAAGAAGTTGATTTGGCTCCAGAACTAGCAAAACCCGGTGCTTTGGTAAATGCAAACGTCATTGCTTTATGGGTATGTGTCAAGAACAGATTCAATGAAGCCGGGGCTTTAAGAGTTACAATCTTGAGGAAAGGAGAAGCAGAAATGGCCTTGGATAGTGATGAAGCACCCCATATAGCAGTTGCACCTGCACCAACTGCTACCACGGGCTTATCAGACAACAATCGTTTTAGCTTCGAGTCATTAGTCTTCTTGTCGTCATCAAATTTTTGTACCATATGCTCAGACATATCTTTGACTTCTTGAGGAACACTAGTTCTCCAGTGCTTTCTTAGTCCTGCGAGACTACTTGCATCTATTACTGCTACTATGTTCTTAAAATTTTTAGCCTGGCTACGAAGAAGATCTGCCATGAGTGCGTAAGATTTGTGCTCAGAAGAGAGCTGTGAAAACTGACCTTCGGTTCGGCTTGAACTTCCCACATAATTCTTAATGGGTAGCCGACCAGCATTGTTCAAAGCGATTCGTAGACCTTCAACTGCGATCTGGAAAATATAAACTTCAGAAATAACCTCTGTATCCATGGATTCCCCTCTATTTACATCAGACAACATCTTTCGGGCATTGACTAGAGCTTTCCCAATAGATGGAAGATCGTGAAATATATCACGAAGATCAACAAGCAAGGAATAAATGTATTGAGCAAATGGTGGAACCTCATGACTATCGGACGGTATCTCACTGTAAACTCTACTGGCGACACAACTCGATGGGCTAAGCTCTTTACTGACCTGAGTGATATGCGGAGATAACAATTTCAGCATCTTTGCCTGTACATCATTGGTTATCAAAAACCTTCTCGAGCTTGAAAATATAACAGAGCCAGAGCTTTGTGGTATGAGACTATTAGCTAGACCTTGGATCATCTTGCCTCCTGACTCAATTTCTCCCGAGGAAGTATCCATGGCAGCGATCTTGACAAAAGGAGATTCAAGCACCAAAAACGATGAACCAACTTCCTCAGCAACCCTTTTAGCAGCCAATAAATGTCCATTAAAACTCGTCCCAAAAATCTCCCTTAAAACCAAAATCCCCGCAACACTTTCGTACTTTTCCTTGTTAACCTTGTCTACAAAACACTGTATAAGAACTCTAAAAGCCGACGTGGGGATCGAATCACTCGACCCATCACCTAATACACTCTCCTCAACTTGAGCTTCTCCAAAAGCTGATTTATCAACTTGAGCAATCACAGCATCAGGACGGATTTCTCGTATAAGACACTCGGCATCAATAGCTGATCTTTCGGATAAATTCTGAGCAGAGAGTATGTAAATAGTCGAATCATGCTCAGGGACTCTAATTGCAAACACAAAGTTCTTAGTACTATCAGGCACTGAAAGTCTGTGAACAAGCTCCTTAGATTCCTTCAAGTCATTGCTACTCAATATCGAAAAAGGCCATACATTTCGTAAACTATTCGATAAAAACAATGCAACCATTATCGAATTCGACTCCAATGATAGATAATTTCAAACCCAGTAAGCCTTATACGGCAATCAAACGAATCCGAACAAATCCCTAATCTTTTATCGAATTCAATCGAGTCGTGCATAGATGAGAAATCGTTCTCTGAATCGTAAACCCAGAAATTGACGATCGAAAAAACACTCAGATGAATCAACAAAGGCAGAAAACAAACACTCAGACACAGATTCTTATCGTGGCTGATGACGGAGAAGTACCTGGTTCGTTAAAGGGAAGAGACGAGGATCGATTTCGAGATTAGGGTTCAGTAGTATCAAGCTCGATGGTTCGAGTCAGTACCAGTTATGGCTTCCTCTCTGCGTCTCTCACGCGACTCGTGTTCTCTTCTCGAGTCGATGAAAGACGAATTCGCACAGAGAGACACGGTCCATAGTATTTCCTTTTTGTTCAACCATTTTAGTTTATTTTCTTTGAAATTCTCGAAATGTTCCTAAATTGTGGTTCCGGTACGGTTGCACATTTCTCGGTTATTCAATTGCTCGGCTCGGTTTGGTTATTTTGGTTTTCTTAATTTAGTCGGTTTGAGAATTCGTCTGAATCAGAAACAGAATTTTATTTTATTTTATTTTTCGTTCAATTTTGAATAAAATTAACAAAGGTTATATTGATAATCAGTTTTAACTTTTAAGTAATGTTTATTTGGATGAAAATCTGGATCTGTAGATAGAATTTCAATCCAATTTCGTTACAGAATCTCCCCCTCCAAATACGTTTTGTCTTGGTTTTGACCAGGGGCTAGTTGTGAATAAAGATGTTATGATTGAACGAAAACAAAAATTGTGACCAAACTGAAAAATGATTTGTAAGCACTGGTCAATCTTCATTTACACAAATTTAAACAAAAAGAAAACTTCATTTGCAATCTTATACCTTTTTTTTTTTGGTCGAAATTGAAATAACAATTTTATACCCATCGTTTAGAAAGTGTGAGTAGATTGGTTTGGTATAAAAATCAATAGAATTAATAAGGTTATAAAAAGATTTCAGTCTAATTCGGTTACAACATTTTACCAATATATGTTTCGATTTGGTTTATATGTCTATTGTGATTGTAACTAGAAATGTTTAATTGTGACCAAGTTTCAATTTTGACCCC